GAAGCATACCCCACAAGAATGGCTACCGACTCCACAGTGGCACGAGTGCTGCTCCACGAGATAATACCCAGATTTCTGTTACCTGAATCTATTGAGTCAGATCAAGGCAGTCATTTTATAGGGAAAGTAGTGCAGGAAGTGTCCAAAGCTTTAAATATCAAATGGAAGCTCCATGCTCCATGGAGACCCCAGAGTTCAGGCCAGGTGGAGCGCATGAATAGAACGCTGAAGGCTATGTTAAAGAAAGTCTGTACTGAGACTCATTTGAAATGGCCGCAGGCACTCCGACTGACTTTAACTCATATTCGTAGCATGCCACGTAGAGGGATTAAATTGTCACCTTTTGAATTGATGTTTGGTATGCCTCCCAGAGTCTTGCCAGCAGGATGGAGGGAGCCGGTTACTGTGGAATTGGGCAGATCCGAAATTTGGAAACATGTTATTGCCTTGCAGTCTGTTTTGTCTTCCCTACATAGGTTCGCTGCACCCTTCCAGAGTCTCCCACTTGATGCACTGATCCACAACTTCAAACCAGGCAACCAAGTCTTGGTGCAGAAGTGGAAGAAGGATCCCCTTGCAGAAAAGTGGTAAGGACCCTACCAGGTGTTACTGACTACACACACAGCTGTTCACCTGGCAAACAACGACAAGTGGACCCACTGTTCGAGAGTGAAGCTTTTTCATCAGGAGGACACCAACTCCCAAGGTGTGGTCACTCTGGAAGCTGATAACACGCGGGAACAAGAAGCCGACAAGTGAACCAGTAGGAGATCTGAAGTTACGCTTGCAAAAATGTGGACCCTAACCTATTTGCTGGGACTCTTGTCCCTTTTCGGGGTATCAACCCCAGATTGCTGTAAGTGTTTGCCATGGAGTAGTCTTGGAGTAGCTTTTACTCTTTACATACAAAGTGTTGAGGACCTGAGGTCCTAGTTGCTTTGGATACTTTTTCATGGGATGAATCAGTCATAGACAAAAGCTTTTTTCCTCTATAGTACTTCTATAATTTTTGAAAATTGAAATGCAAAGAAGAAACGAGTCCCTTTCTTGCCAATTCCCCTCAATAGAACAGGTGTAGTCTCAGATTGGGGCTTTAACCGAAATTTTTCCTTACGATACAATGGATCTGGGAGAGTTATGGTAACAAGAATTACTGGATCTATTTGCATTTCCCAACAGGGAGGGGGGTTTAAGGTAGGGCAGTCAAAGTGTCAGGAGACATGGATTTCTAAGGAGGTCGCCCCTCGGGAGGGTACATGGACCTGTGCTAATGTCTCACACGACAGGTTTGATAATTGTAGCTGCCTATTGGGTAAGGAGTGGATTTCTGCTTGGGGCATTAATTGTACTCACTACCGAAACGGTACCACGGTACGTGGGAGTACAACAAGGAGCTCCCTGACCCTAGCTTTAATGGGCTCCCGTGCCACCATCACAACTGAAGCCTGTGGGCTATGGTGGATCTGTGGGCGATGGGCATATAGACAGCTTCCCCCCAATTGGACTGGGACTTGTTATTTGGGAGCTTTGATTCCGGGTGTTTGGATAACACAACCTAACCCTCCTGGCGTTTGGACCCCACAATCCCACATGCATCGCATCAAACGCAGCACTGATAACTTCTTTGAGAAGATAGCCGCAGGAGGGGGCCAACGATGGGGTAATGATGAATGGCCGGCAGAAAGAATCACTCAGTACTATGGCCCAGCAACTTGGGAACCAAATGTGGTTGGCAGAGAGCCCACATACTTAACAAACCGCATTATTAGACTCCAGGCCGTAGTAGAGGTAGTTACCAACAAAACTGCCGCCGCCCTGTGTCCGATCGGCAACCAGCTCACCCAGCTACGTACTACGGTACTGCAGAACCGCTTAGCTCTTGACTATTTACTTGCTAGTGAAGGAGGGGTGTGCAAGAAGTTAAATTTGTCCAATTGTTGCGTTGAAATTGATGATAATGGTGAACTGATAAAGACCTTAGCAGATGATATGGAGAAGGTAGCGCATGTCCCTGTCCAAACATGGAGCGGGTGGAACTTTGATTGGTTTACATCCTGGCTTCCCCAGATTGGATGGTTAAGGGGTGCTTTGTTGGCCTTTTGCCTACTGATGTCGGTGCTTTGTTTACTTCCCTGTATTATACCCTGAATCATGGCCCTTTTAAGACGAACTGTTCAGTCGGTCGTCAACTGCAAAATGCTTGTGCATTACCAAAAGCTAGCCATTGCTGACAATTATTGAAATTAGAGTTAGAAAGCATCTTGAGGGGGGAATTGTAGTAAAAATACGCTAGAACTTAAACATGATGCCTTTTTGCAAATGCTTTTGTATTCAGTATGCTTTGCAATAGCTTCTGCATACAGATTGAGGCCTGCTCTGCACATAAAATTTCGTAACCATACTTATTCAGCGCCTTAGACAAGGGGTTACTAGGAGGCATTAGGTTTTCCGCAGTTCTAGGAGGCATTAGGTTTGCCGCAGTTCCGCTTTTGGACTGCGCATGCGACAGGGCCTTTGCCGCAGTTCTGCTTTTGGACTGCGCATGTGCTAAAACTTGATAAGAAACACTAACCAATAACCAACTAAGCTTGACCTGCAAGATAAGACGTAACAATAAGGAAATTGTAATGTCGCCAATAGTTGCAGGACACGCTGAAACCCTCTGTTTATGTAAGCTATAAAAGTGGAACCTCGGACACACTCGGGGTCGACTCTGCTTTGGGCGACTCAGCCCCTTTGTCGATCTGTTTGCGCAAACAATAAACTCGAGATGGACCCATCCTGCATGTGACTCTCTCCTTGAGGTAAATTGGGCAAGCCTCCAGGGGCACGAAACTAGCCATTTGTGCAACAGGGGGCAGGACTTCCAGTCACAAGATGGTGACCATGGAGGAGGGGCACCTGGCAAGGGGCGGAGCTACCCCTGCAGCCCTTGACAGCTTGCCAAGACATGGTGAGCAGCCCTCTGCCTGAAATAAATGCCCGCCCCTGGTTTATATGCCTGGCCCCAAAGGGTGAGTGAGGGGGCAGGGCATGCAAACACTCCCTGAAAGACTCCATCATTCATGATGGATGATTGGCTAGTTTGAACTTAAAGGAGATGTTTCTGGTCGTGGAATCATCTTGACTCCTGTGGCCGATGCTCCTGCCTCCTGCAGCTGAGGACCGGGCCCCTAGATCTGTAGGGAGGTGTGGGTCCTAGTCCCTTCTCTTCCCTGGTGGGGATTCCCTCTTCAGTGAGGATAATAGGAAGAGGTTGTTGGATGATTCACCACTATGCCCCTTCTCTGTTTTCAGCCAGAAAATCTCCACCCTGCCCTTCTTGCACTGCTGCCTGCCCAGGCAACTGGCCTGGATATCAAGGGAAGTGTTTTCTCTTCTCAGACACAGAAGAGTCCTGGAACTCTAGTCAGGTCAACTGCTCTTCACATGGAGCCTCCCTGGCTGTGATTGACTCCCTAGATGACTTGGTAAAGAAGAAATAAGAGGGCAGAAGCAATGTTTAACTAGTTTATTGGGGGAAAATACTGTTGGATCCTCTCAAGGTTTCTCATTTCATTTCAAAATCAAGTCTTAAGGAGGGTTGTCCTATTTATTTATTTTTTTCCTTAACCAAAAATCATGTTCAGAATTGGGGTAAAGGTCGGGGGGGACTCTTCTGCCTTTTCCATATTTTAAAAGCCTGACAATTAGGTAGTGAGAAATAGGTGTGCAAATAGCTATGATGTATAATGTATGCGGTGTCTTCCTAAGATATTCATGCTACGTCATAAAGGGAGACCTTACTACTGGATTGGCCTTTGGAAGGAAACAAGCCAGCTCTGGAGATGGACCAACGGAACTGTATTCAATAATCTGTGAGTTTGGTCATCCTATTCACTTCCTCAGCATGAGGGCAGCAAATACCTGTGTAACAGCTTGGGCCTTCCCTGCTGGAGCTATGTGGCCTGGGCTGTTTGGTATTGTAAAAGGGCTTTTATACTGTGACTTGAAGAGGAAAAGAAGAGCTGGGTTAAGAGTTGCTATATGGGACTAAGCAGCCAGGTAATAGCAGGAGCGGGAGGCTTATTTGGATTAGGGCAGAGGTGGGTAAAATACACCCCGCAGGCCAGATGCAGCACACCAGGCCATTCTATGCAGCCTGCCGGGGCCCTAAAAAAATTTAGAAAATGTAATGTTTATCTGCCCTGGCTTCCTGTCAAAGATGATTAGAGACAGGGGCAGTAGGACCCAGGGGGAGATAGCAGCAAGACCCAGCAGTCACAGCAAGGCTGGCCCAGTCTGGCCCTACCCCACCCCCAGCCAGAAGCCTTTGCCTAGCACAGGCTTCTGGCCTGGGACCCTGGGGCTGTTCTCACCTCCCTCCATCAGAGAGGGAAATTCAGATAAGAAGCGGGTGGGAGAGGCAGGGGAGGACCACAGGTAATTGCCCCAGTCCTCGGGGCTGGACTGGGTCCTGCTGAGATTTGCAGTCATGGCCATGAAGCTGGGAACCACGTGGAAAGTGTCTGAAGGTGGTGCTAGAGGGGGGCAAGTGGGAGTGAGCGAGCGCACAGGGGTGCAGTGACAGCTGTGTGGGAGATCAGAGTCCATGCCAGTGTCCCGGGGCCAGGAGTGGGAGGGAGATGTGCTCATCTGTGCAACAAGGAAGGAGGAGAGAGAGACAGAGAGAGCAATGAAGGAGAGACAGAGTGTGTGCGTGCGCGTGTGCGTGGGTGTGCGTGTATTTGCATGCAGTTAGGGAGCGAGGAACAGAGCACCTCACCATATACATGCACCCACACCCTCCTTGCACTGCCATACATGCACACCCCCACAACCACACCCCCTCACACACCCCAGCCACACTCCCCCAACACAGGCCTGCAGAAACCCCATCCTCAACCCCGCCCCCCACACACACCCACATGCTCCCTCAACTCACACTCTCCCCCACACACCCACAACCCTCCAAAAGCCTATACACACTCCTCCATGCCCCCCCTACAATATACAAGAGTAAGAGTTCATTTTAAGCTCCTGTGCAATCACCTCTGTGTGCACTACACAACCACATGTAAATCAGGACAAAAATATTTTTTGAAATCAAATTAATGAATCTTATAGTAGATATTTGATTTTTAAAATATAATTTGGTATTTTTCTGGTTCCAACATTGCACAACCCCTTCTGAAAGGAGTGTTTCTTGGGGTAAGGGGTGGGACTTCTGGAGGCAAAGGTCAGGGGTTATGAGGCGGGACTTTCAGTCACAAGATGGGAACCATGGGGTGGAGCTACCCATGCAGCCCTCAACAGCTTGCCAAAACTCAGTCAGCAGCCCTCCAGCTAAAAGCATTGTCTGCTCCTGGGCTCGGCCTGAGCGTGATGGAGGAGCCAGGTGACCAGAGGGCTGGTGCCCAGGGACTGCGAGCTCAGTTCCAGATTGGGAGCAGGAGGTCTGGCCCTGCACTCTGCAGGGAGAGCAGCTTCAGGCAGGAGATGGATCTGCAGGCACCTCTGCTCCTGCAGATGGCTGGAAGGAGGCAGCCAAGAGGGGAACGTGAAGGTGTGTGGGACAAATGTGTTTGATTTTAGTTGGAAGCAGTTTGCTTGTCTCTTGGTGTAGTGGCTATGGGGCAGGTTTGGAGGCCATGCAGCAGGTGCCAAGCATGTGCTTGGTGTTGAGTCTGACATGGGGCAGAGGACATGGTGGGGCTGGGGTCTGGGAGCCAAAGCTTGAGACAGTGGGCCAGAGATGAATGCCTCATCAAGAGACAAGGGACCAAAACTGGAAGAAGCCTGAGGCTCAGATGAAAGGATTAGTTCCCAAGGGCAATGCATGTAGACAACATGGGAAGTCCCATGAAAAATAATGAAGGAGTGACACCTGCACAGCATGGGCATGGCTAGTGGGGTCACAATTAGTGCCCCTAAGGCAGGTTGGTGCCTTAAGGGACCTTGGGGAACAGCTTTCTGATGTAAAATACACTTTCCATTAGGGCACAGCCATGGGACAGTGAGCAAGTGACTCTGAAGATTGGAGGGAGATGGATAATTCAGCTACTGAAGGGTGTTACGTCCATCCTCAGAAGTGGGTCCTGGAACAGGCTTCCATCTGGGGGAGACTCCTGAGCCTCCTTTAATGGTACAGCCATTAAAGGGAGATATCCCTCTCCCCTTCCACTCCCACCACACAATCTCGAGCCCCATTCCCCCCTGCCCTGACTAGCAGGACCTACAAGAAACTTGCCTCTTGGTGTATGTTTATAACTGGAGGACCAGGTAGTGGCTGGAGGACCAGTGCAGTTTCCTGCATGGAACAGGCCAAAGTTTCAAACGCTGAGTGCCTACCTGCCCCTTCCCCCTGGTTTTCCAGCCAGAAGTGACTTGCTGGAGGAGGTCCCACAGCCATGTAGGGCACATCTACACAATATATGGTCTTGTTCCCAGGCTCAACCTCTTACCCAAATCAACTTCCCACCCCCACTAGAAGCTCCCATCTCCCCAGCCCCAGCAGCCCTCCAGTCTGCTCACAGAAGCCCTCCTGGGTGTTGGGGGCTGAGGTTTAACTTCTCTTCAATCCTCCCCTCCCTGCAGCATGTTCACAACTCTCTTGGGCACTCAGGGGCCTAGGAATGAGTCAGCGTCCTACCCAGCTGTACCATCAACATGTTAGCAAGGGAACACAGGTGGTGCAGGGCACTTGACTGGGGGTAACTGTGGGTGAACCTTCAGCTTGCCCCAAAATAAAAGCATTGCCATAACTGTGACTTTGGGTTCAAACCCAGATGCTGAGTCCTAGCCTGTTCCCCTGAGGCTGTTGCTCTGTACATGGCTGGGAAGGGCGTCATCTTTGCAACACAACCCCACTGCTGTCGTTGCAGGTTTCCAATCAGAGGAGAGGGGGACTGTGCCTATGTGAATGATGATGGTGTCAGCAGCTCCAGGTGCTCCTCAAAGAGGAACTTCATCTGCAGCCAGCCAGATAATTGTGCCAGAGGAAAGCCAAGCAGCTTGATGGAGAACATAGCAGCAGATGTGATGTAAGGGACTGATGCAGACTGTCTTGAGGACCTGCAGTCTGTGCACTGGTCATCCTGCCTCTATGACCCCTGCTGAGGACTTCAAGCCAGTGTCCATCTGGGAGGTGTGTGACTCCAGTCTATGTGTTTCTTTAAGTCCTCAGCTATGGGCATCATGTGATGATGATATAAAACGTCTTTTCCTCTCAGGTTTTAGTTGTGTAGAGTTTGAAACTGGGCAACGTAAAAGACTGAAAATGGAGAGCCAAAATAAAAACGAATCCAGCCATTACTGGCAATACTGAATTAACAAGTTCCAAGGCCTAGATTTTGGTCGCATCCTCCCTAGGCCTTGACATGTTCAGAAATTTGAGGCAATGTCCAGGTAAGATGGGAAGTGGAACAAATTGTGAGGCATGAACCAGAGGTATGTTTATGGCATCTTGAGCACCTGCAAATGTTCCTCAAGCCCTCTGGGGTAGGGCAACTTTCCCTTGTGCTTTCAAGAGAGATAAGGAACCTGGTGTTTCATGAGTCTCCTGTTTTGACTCTGCCTTTTCCATCCAAAATATTTACAGTGTAATTTATTTAAAACATTTTTGTTTACACTAATTTTATATGCCAGGATTGTCCAAAACAGTCCCCTGGAAAAATAAATCTTCAGTCACAACAAGCTTTCTTTTGGATGTGTGTAAACTTTCTTTTTGTGGACATATATTTTCTACTGCAAAATTTTTTTTGTCTGGTTTTCTTTTCTTTTTTCCAAACTAGTTCCCTTGATTTGTAATATAGGGTCACTGTCCCTTCCCATGACCCCGGTCCTTACCCTGGAGGTGATTAAAAGCAAGCACCTCTTTGGAAATGCCTCATACATGGGAAATTGCTTTGCAAGGAAATAGGCAGCCTGTAGGGCCGTGCAGAACAGCATTGTTCTGCTTTGACATCCATTTAAATTTTTTTTGTTTCAAGTTTTTTTTTGTGTGCAGCCCGGGTACACCCGGGGGGTGTGCCCTGTCCTCTGATGACAGTGGTGGTGGTCAGGCAGGGAGCTGAGGAAGGGGTCAGCTAGTAGAGCCGCTTCCTCCCCTCTCTATAGAGCTAGACCAAAACCAAGTATTTAACTATGTACAATTTATTACAAGAAGAAATACAGATATTTAATATAAAACATACAATGTTTACAAGGCTTAACATATAATACATACAATATAATATTCCACAGTTCACATATAATACCAAATATGAACCAAATAACTTACAACCTATACAACACAATTGACACACAGGTATATTAACCTATATAACCCAAGTAAATTAACAATAATATTTCTTTAAACCTTTACAAATAACAATACCAAGATACACACTGAGGCATTAAAGCACACAAACCATATAAACTCCCTTAAAGAATACCCCTAGCTCTATAGCCCTTAACACAAGGACAACCTCAAAATAGGGAGTGCACTCAGTACCTCCCCTGAAGTCGCTCCCCTTTAGGGCCCTGGGACATGGACATGGCCCTCCTGCAATGGAGGGTGGAGGCGGCAGACCCTCCTCACCTGTGTCAGCCTCCCCTGTGGGGCCCGCTTCCCCAGTAATTCACGTTTCCTCTCTGGAGAAGTCGAGGCTCATCCTCTGGTGGCCAGTCCCACAAGAGCCTCTCCCCAGTGGTGCCTTCAGCTCTCCTCAATGGCCCGGCATCCCGCACTGGGCACCCAGGACTCTCTTTCTCTCATGGGAGTCAAGCTGTGGCAGGCTCTGGCTCCCTGGGTGCACTCCGGGGTCCTTCCCTTTCCTGGGCCCTGCTCAGGGCACCAGGGCTCTTTTAGTTAAAGGTGGAGCCACACTGTGGGGCTCTGGTCACTCAGCCTAGGGCTGGGGCTAACTTGAGCAGCCGCAAGCTGCTTCCAAGGCTGTTTCTCTGTGCACCGACCTGTGGTATGAGCTGCTCCTAGGGCGGACTCTCATTGCACTGACCTGTGCACTGTGTGGAGCCTGAGCAGCCTCAAGCTGCTCTCAGGGCCAGCTCCCTGTGCACTGATCCATGAACTGCTGAAGCTCAGGCAGGGTCCTGAGGACAGTCATCTCTGGAGCTCCTGTCTCCTCGCTGTCTATCCCTTGTCATCTCTCCCCACCCCACTGAGCACACTCCACTTTTATACTCTTCCGGGGCTCCCCCTGAAGCTCTCCAGACCTGGCTGGCACAGTTTGGATTTGGGCCCAGTTGCTCCTTGCCCCCTCCCTTTGGAAAAGGGCATGGTATTGCTTCCCTTTGCTGTCTGCAGATTGGTGGATGAGCTCCACCAATCAAACAGCAGACCCTCAAGCCTGGGACTATACCCAAACCCCGAAAAAGATAAGCCTGCTACATTCATTTTGAAAGCACTGTTCCATTCCGTTTCATCAAAACTTTTGCTGTTTCAACACTTTGCCCACTCAGCGCTGGGAAGATTGGTGCCACCGCTGGCCCCAGGCAGCAGCACCAGCCGCCTGTCATCCAGCAGGCAGAACGGGGGCCTTCACCCCCAGGAGAGTCTGGCACAGCTCCCGGAGCATGCGGGCATGTGGGCGAGCCCCTGATCTGCCTGCCAGATGACAGGAGGCTGGTGCTGCCAGCTGGGGCCAGTGGCAGCACCAATCTTCCCCACACAGACTGTGCCCAGCTGGCAGCACCAGCCTCCTGTCATCCGGCAGACAGATTGGGCCCACCAGCACCCCTAGAAGGGCTGTGGGGACTGTATCAGACTGCTTCTGGGGATGCAGGCTCCTGATCTGTCTCCTGGATCACAGGAGGCTGGTGCTGCTGCCTGGGGCCAGTGGCAGGTAGGCCCAGGGCAAATTAACTCATGCAGGGACCCTCTCCCACCCCAATCCCAGGGCAGGAGAGGGTCCCCTCATTAGCTCATACGTCCAGGGCACCATACTGGAGCCGGCCTGAGGAGGGTGTGAGGCCCAGTGCAAATCAGCTCATGCAGGGACCCTCCCCGCCCCAGCACCGATCTTCCTGAATGCAAAGAAGGACTCTGGCACATCCCCCGCAGCCCTCCCAGGGATGTGGGCGAGCCCCCAATCTGCCTTCTGGATGAGATGAGGCGGGTGCTGCTGTCTGGGACCAGTGCTGAAACCAGTAAGCCTGGCTTTGAAACTCAAAACGTTTCAAAATGTTGCAAGTTCTCTTGTTCCATTTCAAAGCTGTTTTGAAGGCTTTTGTTTTGTTTTGATTTCACTGTTTCGAGCTCGAAACATATTGAAACAGTTTTGAAATGAAATGCGGATGAAATTCCACACAGCCCTACCAGCCAATGCTATTACAGGGAAGCCTCACAACTAGTGAGATCCTGGAGGTTTCTGTGCCCTGATCCAAAATCAAGAATGAAGTTCATTGACTCTAAACTTTGGGTCAAGTCTTACCATTGAGTCTCAAGCAGAAGTACTGAGCTGCCACCTAGGAACACTCATGCTTTGATTCCTGCCCCCCGGGCTCAAATGGCTGGTGGCCGAGTAGCTCAGGAATCTTAACTGTGGCTCCTAGTAGGAACTATCTTGAACCATTTTGTCCCATCTTGCATCTCTACAGGTTGCTGGTCCTCTAGCATCCCATCATGCAGAGTCCACCCATTCTCCCCATGCCTTGGCTGCTGCTGGCCCCACATGCAGTGCTGAGGCTCCAAAGCACTCAGGGTGCTGCTCCATAGCTGGAAGACCTGTGCCCAGCCCCACTGCTTGCCCCTTTGCTGCCAGTGCGAGGAACCAGCTCTCCAGATGAGGCTGCAGAGTGGCACAGAGGGTATGCTTACAAGGGCTGTGTAAAGTGTTTGACCACGATTCAGACTTGGAAAAGATTCAGACAATTCAGAGGATGAATCTGTGAGTCTGAATCGAATCACTAGCTGCTTTTGGCTTTCCAAATTGATTCAGAAAAGATTTGGCAATTTGGTGATTTGGAGGGTTGTCTGTATGGGGAAATAGAAACTTAGAATAGGGAGGGGGAGCTGCGGGAGGGAGAGGGAGCAGCAGGGAAAAGACTGACATGTCTAGGTGGCCAGTGAGCATAATTTCTCTTTGACTGCCTTTCCAATTACAGTGTCTGGGGGGAGGGACATAGAAACAGTATAAAAGCCTCTATGTGCAGGCTTGTTCTGCCTTTTGTGATCTGGTTCTGTCTGAACAGCAGTGTCAGAAAGGTATTGTGCTGCCTGGCTTGCTTCATAGTCAGTCAGCTGCAAGTTGCCTGCTCCTTTTTGTTGTTAGAAAGGATTGGATAGGATTTAGCTTATTTTAGCTTAGAATCTCTTTACTTAATACTATCCAATTCATTTCTTTCAATTTATATTTTCTCTCTTTGTTTTGCAAACTTTGAAAAAAGAAAGCTCAGTGTTTTCCCTGCCAGTGTGATCCATCACTGTCCAGGTAGGCACACAGATTGCACACATACACTTATACTATAAACACCTAGAAGAATAAAAATCAGATATTCATAGAAGAAGAGAGTCAGATTATATATAGTAGTTATTAGTTATTAATATTATTATAGTTAGTTTACTTAGAGACTGAAGACAACACAGAAGTCAGATTCAGATTGAGACTAATACAGAACCCAGGGTCTTAGAAGAAGGAGATATATCATTTTTGGTACACATAAATACACCACAGCAGAGAGGAAGACAGAGAGAGAGCACACATTTTTTTACATAGTTCTTAATACTTACTACTGAATCAATCACACAATCAAAGAAGAGTCCAGTGCACACACGCAACACAGAGGGAATAAAACACACAACACAAAATGAGTGACACCCACACCCACACACACACATCTTTTGCAGCACAGGAAAGATTAATATGAAGAGTGCTGGAAGGGCAAGTGCCAGGTCTTCTGGCAGGGGAGGAAGAAGTGGTAGGGGGAGAGCTAGAACTGCAAGTCCCCCCTCAAAACATAGACGCATTCTCTTCCCAAGCAGTCATGATGCTTCTGCTGCCAGTGGAAGCCAGGCAGTGGGAGCAGAGTCTGCACCTCATGTCCCTGAACCTGCACCACCTCCCCTAAGTCCAGAAATAGGCACCAGCAATGAAATCACTGTCTCCTCCACCCCAACGTCATCTCTCAGTGTGAGCCTCCCACTGCCAGAGGAGGAGCTGGAGCTTGAACCGGGGATGCTGAGTACACTGGCTCAAGCAATTCTGGGGACCGAGGGGGAATCAGAGTTTGTTCTCCACACCCCTCAAAGTTCCCCTAGTCCCAGGTCTCCTCTGGAAAGCAGCACCTTGGAGGAGGTTGAGGTTGTGGAGGCAAGTAGCTCAGCTGAGGCAGATCCTC